ATTAATCATATTGTAAATACATAAACTAACAATGAAATCCTCAATTCCCTTCAATGTTTCGCAAATTTCCCTTATAGCCGGACAATCACTAGAACTGCTTATAGATCAAGAGATCATTCATGTTTATATTTGAATATCATCTCTAGAGTGTTAATTCATGTTCATGAATGTCATTCACTTCTTATATGTTAATCAACATATAATTATCCCTAAATTTCCCAAAATACCGTAATGACCAATTATTCCGTATATCAATCTAGGAATCAAGCAACACCTTATGTTTTGATTTCAAATCATTCCAAGAGTATCCATTCAAAATTTTGAACTTCCTTTACCCATCAATCTCTCAACTACAAAGGACTCCATTGGTTTCATCACATTGTCCCAAACCATTTCAACCCTAACTTATACATGATTCTACCATCATCGATGTGTTTGAGCATTCTAATTGGATTCAATGTCATCAGATAACATCTAGGTCATAGAGTACAATCAATTTTTATCATCAGTTGTAAAATCCCCAATTTGGGTTTCTAGCATTCATGAGGGTTTTCACCCAAATCCTCAAATCCGTCAATGGGGTGATTGTATTGAGATTGGAATCATCAAAACAACTCAAGGTGGTTAGAAACCAAAACCCTAACCCTTACAAGAAGCTAAATTTGACATTGGGGTTAAACCCACTTTACAAATCCGAATTCTAAGTGAAAAGGAGAAGAAATTATACATTTAACCACTTAATTTCTTCACAACTTGTACCAAATGAACTATAAAGTATTGAGATCGGCCCCTAGGATTTCTATTGAGCTTGAATCGCCATCCAACCTCCTCTCTTCTCCTCCCATCGTTCTTTTTTTGGCTGAAATGAAGAGGAAGCACTATTATTTTCGGATTTGTCATATTTGGTCCTTCTAGTTTACATCTTTTGTCAAATTTACTATTTTTCATTTATTTTTACATTTTCTTACAAGGTTGACATAATGAGTCCTTGACAATCCCAATCTTAAAATTCCTCATACATTTAACCTAGGTGAGTTAACCCTTGGTCAAACATACTTTTCTCAACTTGACACTTTGGGTCCCTTAACTTTGAAATGTTATCATATCAACCTTTAACTTTGCAAGCTTCATATACACTAATGATATGATTATCATTTAAATGATTTAATTATGTAAATCCTCCTTTATTTAAATATCCTAATTATTTTAAGACACTTATCTTAAATTTTAGGATATTACAATAGGATCCATCACACTTACGATACGTTCTATATAAGCTACGTTTATTCTAAAAGCTTTATGAGTTAGGATCATTTCCCAAGCTACATGGGTTACATTTGTCACAATTCTAGGACCATACATCTTAGTGGAAATCCCTTTGTATCTTAACCGTTAATTCTTATTGGAACGAGGAACGCTAAGTATAAGTTCATGACCGCATACTTATATGGGTTGACGTCCTGCCACCGGTTGCTAGCTACAACCATCGGTTTACGAGTCGATTTTGGGCGTTGGCGTTTCCTACTCGATAAAGTCCTTGAGGATGAGCAAGGTTGGGTTTTGACTTTCAGCACTAAAACTTGTAAGTGCTGATGCAGAGGTGTTCGTCACAATTTGGTTATGACCTCATCATAGATCCGGGTTTGCCTTGTTACCATATAGAATCGATATTGGGTTTATACGGGGTTTTTGTTCAGTGATCCTAGTTGAAAGAGACTGTAGGTAGTGAGATAGCTTGTGACTCAAAACGATAAGAGTTAATGCCGGAAATTAAGTAATATAATACATAATTAATATTATGACACGGCTGAACAAGGTTTATTAACTTACAATGATTAAGTTATTTATATAAACCCTTTGTGGTTACACGAAAACATAATATTTATGTGGAAAGAGTTTTCCCACTGGTTAAGTGTCGGTTTCTAAATCAAGTAAGATAATATTTAAATAATATCACAAAACGAATTTACAATGTTTACAAAATAGAACATATATATGAGTTTTACATATAAATTATACAAATGTTTGTACAATGTTTCAAGAGTGAATTGGATATTTTATATTTTCACAAAGAGTGATATGGTTCTCCGTTTCATAAATTGATATTCAAAATCTTTATATAAAAAACATTTTTGGTCATGAGAACCGTAAAGATTTATCATAAAATTTGATTTACTTATATATTCAACAAATGTTTATTTTTGGGTTTGAACAAACGATATTTTAAATAAGTATAAATACACTTTTAAAACTCATTTTATTTTTATACTTTTCATTGAAAGACATATATTCAGAAAAGCTGGTTAACCAGAGAATTGTTATAAAAACACTTTTGGTTATACAAATATTTTATGTCAAAACCTGTAGAACTCACCAATAGTTTTGTTGACTTATTTTAAATACATGTATTCTCATATTATTTAACAGATGGGTAGGGTTAACTCCGAAGACTTTCCATTATTTTGCTACACCTGCGATTGTTAGGCGTGTGTCTCGATTTAGAAATGGTATTGTCAATGTAATTTCCATTTCATTAATAATAGAAGATTATATTTGTACTGTTCAATGCATATTTTGGATTAGGTATTTAACCCCATAACTATAATTGATATGTAGTTGATTTTATAGTAGCATGGTCTTTTTGGGTGTACTACACACTGGTGACTAGACAGTAGACATACGGACCATTGAGGAGAGATGTTGATTAATTATTAAGAATAATAAAGTGGGTTATTAATATGATTTATTAATATATTATAATAATAATGTATTAACAAGAAATCATAATATTAATTAGTATTTAATCAGCAATTAATTTGGAATTAATTTTGGTATTAAATGAACTAATTAAAAGTACAGGGACTGTTTTGTAATTATTTGATAATTGAGGCTTTGGGCCATTGGATCACCCTTATTAGGGACGGGCCAAAAATCCCTAGAAGGATCTAGGTATTTTCGTCCAAGGCCTAAGATAAGGAGGTCCATAGACTTTCTTAGGCGCTAAGCTAAGGAATTAGGGTTTCCAGCTTAAAACCCTAGATATAAGTATTCAAATTGTTTAAATGCTATGTGTGTTATTTTCGTCGTGTTTAATATATTTGTACAAAATGATATAATTGTTACTTGATCTAATCATATACTTAATAATATAAATGGGTAGTAAAGGGTTGTGCGTATTAATAAATGAGAAGTTGTGCTAGGTCCGTGTAAATTACTGGTTGTGATAGGTTTAGCGATAGTTGTGCAAATAAGTAAGTTGTGCATGTCGTGTCGAGCCAAGTACTATTGTGTTGTCGTGTTTGGCGTGTCTATCCCAAGAACTTTTGTGCTACTGTGCTAAACCAAAGTACTATTATACGGTCGTGGTTTCCATGTCTATCCAATGTACTAATGTACTGCCTTGTTGTTGTGTTTACCCAAGACATTATCATATTGTTATGCCGAATAATCTATGAATTTTAGTTGTCTGCCGATAAAGGTCATTTAAGAAAAATCCATTGAGATCATCATATTAGGATTCGTAAGTGAGAATAATGGGTAACACTTGACAAATTTGGTCAACTACCGACGACCAGTTATCGTAAGCGTTGCTATAATCTAGACCAAATGTATGATACACTAATGTTTATTAAATAAGTTTAAATTCTATTACACTTAATTGCTCAAAACTTTTTATATTTTGAAACGAAATAGTTATGACATTTCATCCAAGTTCATTTTAAGCGTTAATATAGAATAGGGAAAGAGTGTCATGAAAACCATAAAATTATACCAGATTAAGCTTCAAACCTTAAAATTTTGAATTCGACAAGGTTTCTACAAAGGGTAATTCATATCGAAAACAGTTTGGAAATCGAATTCGGTGAGTGCGAATCTTAACGATAAAATCGTTCAATATTTCAGAAATCGTGTGCATTTATATTCATACACGTACGAAGGGCTTATTTAAAAAAAAAACAATATAACATATAGTGGCTAAAGTTCTTATAAAATCCGTATTACATATAACAAATATATGATTATGTTAAACTCAATGTGTGTATGTTAACTAATTAAAAGTGTATAAACGTTGATATATGAGTGTATAAACGTATGTTATGTATCATTCCAAATACCAATTAATTGAATATATGACAATTCGAGCATTTACAATATACAAATCATGAACTCTTTATATATCTTATCATCATACATAGTAAACGTTGATATATGAGTGTATAAGTATTGTGCATATGCGTTATTGCAAACAAAATCTAAAACAAATACATACACGTATATGAAGTTAGAAGAACCAATAATACAGGAAGCATTAAAAAAATACACAATCTAATACATCACACTTAACACAATCAATACATTACACTTAGACGCACATGAATCAGTAAGTACAATGCACTTTCAAAATTCTTAAGATTTCCATGTATCACAAATCCATCAAAAAGCCTTCCAAAATCTGCGTGAAGACAGTAAACCCACCTTCTGTTTCCCCTTTCGTTCCAACTCTTCCCACCTGCAATTGACAAGAACATCAAACCCATATACAATTGCTCTTCGTCTTCTTCCTGTCAATCTCAAGCAACAAAACACCCTTGATCGACCCTTCTGCCCGTTTCATCATCATGCTGGAAATTCCAAATCAAAAATAAATAAATAAATAAATAAAGCAAGAAGGTTACCTGTTACTGATTCCGATCATTTTTATGGTGAAGATGAACCAACCAAACGCCCCACCCGATCTGCTACTGTTGCCAGCTTCCTCCATCACCGACGCCACCCACCTTCCGCCTTATAACTCTCATCTGCAACCACCATCGAACCAACCTTGTGACTGCTTCCGACCGGATTCTTCTTCTTCTCGATCAGACAAAGGCAGTGGACCGAAGTTCTTCCTCCTCCTTCGTGAGTTGATGCCGATCGAACCAGAAAAGAAAAGAGATCGCCGTAGCAGCCCTTTGCTGCCGGCTCTCCCTCTCTCGACGGAGCTTTTTGGGCAACTCTGATCCCCCACCTCTGTTTGCTTCTTCGATTTTGGTTCTTCCCTGATCAGTTGAAGACGAAGACCTCGACTTCGTCGCTATTTTTTCCAGTCGTCGTTGCTTCGGCCTCGCCGACCCCGGAGACCCTCCCTTCGCAACTCCTTCCAAGACTGAAGATGAGCAGCCCCGCTTCTTCGTCTCTTTTTTCTCGTCCAAGGTCACAGCCGCCTCGCTGCATCGATCCTTCTCCTTCTTCACTCTAGTCGAATCCCGGAGGCCGCCACCGATTGCGACTCGAGCGACGAACCATCGTGCTCCCATCTGGTCGTCGATTGTCCCTTCGCATCTATGATCGACTGCCCTTGTTCATCTGTTACTTCGTGACTTCCTTTGGGACCAATTCATGTCCTTTACCCGATCAAAACAAAAGAGACGGGGGCTTATGAGCCCTAAGTTGAAGTCATTTTATGAAATGACGAATATGCCCCTACTGTTAAATTCTTTATTCAAATTCCGTCCAAATCCCAAAAGGTGATTCCATTTATCCACAATCAGCCCTCATTTGGTTATTTTTAACAGAATGATCCCAATCTTCAAACATTGAAGAAAAATAACCATTTTAGCTTGTCCTTTGAAATTATTTTTACCAAATCAGTCCCCGATAGTTCAATTTTGTTACAAAATGGACTCGAAAGTATTTAAAAAATTCAAGAGTGACATGCTTGTGGTTACAAAATGGACCTGAAAGTATTACGATTCTAATATGTATCAGTTAAAGCATCCACTTAAAGTATAAAAAGATATAAAAATGACCAAAAATATTATTCAAGTATAAAATGAAAATACATTGTCATATTAAATGGGAAGACCAAGATTGTGAAAAAGTATAATTATTAGTTTAAAGTATTTAGAATTAACTTTTATATATATATATATATATATATATATATATATATATATATATATAAATTGTGTAAAAATGAATGTAAAATTCATTAATATATTTTTATATTAAATATAAAAATATAACTTATTCTAATAAGTTATGAATTTTATTGCGATAAATAACAGGATCAACTTTAGAACTTAACGGTCGTTATTTGCGACATATTACATTGTATTAATCACATGAATTATTAATATTACGGAATTGTTAGTTTCATATTGATTGAAACTTGGAAAATATTATCGCAACAACCGTTATGTTGCCCAAATTTCGTCATAAAATATAATAAAATTTAGAAATATGTTAAGTCTTACGGATCTCAAATCCCATTAGACTTCAATCAATAATATAACTTAAAAACCAAATATTTATAGCTGTATGATATCTTATAATGGGAAGTTAGGATTAGGGTCGTTATTTGCGACATATTACATTGTATTAATCACATTAATTATTAATATTATGGAATTGTTAGTTTCATATTTATTGAAACTTGGAAAATATTATCACAACAACCGTTAGGTTGCCCAAATTTAGTAATGACAGATAATAAAATTTAGAAATATGTTAAGTCTTAAGGATCTCAAATCCCATAAGACTTCAAACAATAATATAGCTTAAACACCAAATATTTATAGGTGTATGATATCTTATAATGGGAAGTTAGGATTAGGATGCCTAGACATATTGTTCTGTGTAACACCCCATATTTTTTCAAACTTTAATATGTTATGGTTTTAAAAACATTCGGGTGTCAACCCACATTTAACAAAAACCGGTCCCACCAAAACGTTTACAAATTTAAAAGAGTGGTGTTACCATTAAGTATCAATACAACATAGCAAGCAAACAATAATTACATCAATACAATTAATAAGGAACTTAACAAATTCTACTCCATTCTCTATCACTTGACTTCTAACTTCTATCTATCCTTCTCTCTCCTTAAGTGTAACATGAAATACATGAAATTAAAAAGAGATACGTAAGACAATAATGTCTCGTCAGCTACGTGGGTTTATGACCCAAAACATTTATCACTTTTTCATAAAAAACGTTTCATCTTTGCAAATTATAGTTTTAGACCATAAATCAGTTTGAAACATTTTTCAAGGAAAACTCACTTTGTACGCATCTTAAATATCATTTCATTTCATATCTTATCATTTCATTTCAAAAGACATATTTCCATATTCCATTTATTTTATCATTAAGGCTAATTTTGGTATTAAATTGTTTCCATTTTTCTACTTAGGGTCTACATCCAATAAAGGAACCACTCCCATGTATAGACCAAGGTAAAAATAATAAATCTATCCACCAAGGCATCATTTCCATTAGGACAACTATCTCGCGAAGGGGAGGTGCCACCCCGATAGATTCCTCTAGTGCCTCTTACAAGATATCATGGCTAGGGAGTTTTCATTTCATCACTTTCCAATTCCTTTCATTACTTTCTATTCATTTTCATTACTCTATATTTTTTTTCATTACTTTTCATGGTTTACACATTTCATATATTAGTATCATAAAATCATTTCAAAAGTAAAGAATCTATATTTCAAAACATTTCAGTCACATTTTCAAAACATTCTATCTTCCAAAATATTATTTTCCTTCAAAAGCATTCTTGCCTTTAAGGCACTCTTTCAAAATACCCTTTCCAAAAACATTTGACGTTTTCGTTTCAAAACATTTCATATATCAAAGCATTGCATTTCATTTTCATAAAAACATTTTACATGTACCCCAAAGTGGGAAAAATTCCAACACGTACTCACCTCAATCACACATAGGTTAGCTAGTGATCTTCTAGTTCCTTTCCCTTTATCAAACCTCTTCAAACACTACCTATACCATATGTGGACATAGTTCATTAAAATGACAAAAATACCCCTAAAATGCACAAATACTAAGTTTAATTACTTCATACTATTCCTCGTAAAAAAATATGAATGTAGGCTAAAACCGTACGTAAATCTGAGCCGTATGCAAAAGTTATGAAGAAAACAAGAAAATGTCTGAATCAGGGATTTACGCGGGCAGTGTAAGTTAAGCATGCATTTACATGGGCCGTGTTTTCATGTCCAGACACACCCAAAACTCAATTTTTCTCAAATCAACACTATACTTTGCATACTTATTGAAGACCCGTTTTCAAATCACTTTGTACCGTTTATTTAGGTCCTCACACATGATTAGGAGGTTTTGTTATCATCCAAACACACCCAACTTAATCCATTAAGTGCTCATTGAAACCATTAAGGATATGATGATCCTTAAGTTCAATTGAAAGTTTAACTAGTCCAATTTCCAATCGTACATTCTAAAATTCACATAGTTTGTTCCTAACTCATTGAACACTCATATGAAAATTTTCAAGTACATCAAACTACATTAATCATATTGTAAATACATAAACTAACAATGAAATCCTCAATTCCCTTCAATGTTTCCCAAATTTCCCTTATAGTCGAACAATCACTAGAACTGCTTATAGATCAAGAGATCATTCATGTTTATGTTTGAATATCATCTCTAGAGTGTTAATTCATGTTCATGAATGTCATTCACTTCTTATATGTTAATCAACATATAATTATCCCTAAATTTCCCAAAATACTGTAATGACCAATTATTTCGTATATCAATCTAGGAATCAAGCAACACCTTATGTTTTGATTTCAAATCATTCCAAGAGTATCCATTCAAAATTTTGAACTTCCTTTACCCATCAATCTCTCAACTAAAAAGGACTCCATTGGTTTCATCACATTGTCCCCACAACCATTTCAACCCTAACTTATACATGATTCTACCATCATCGATGTGTTTGAGAATTCTAATTGTATTCAATGTCATCAGATAACATCTAGGTCATAGAGTACAATCAATTTTTATCATCAGTTGTAAAATCCCCAATTTGGGTTTCTAGCGTTCATGAGGGTTTTCACCCAAATCCTCATATCCGTCAATAGGGTGATTGTATTGAGATTGGAATCATCAAAACAACTCAAGGTGGTTAGAAACCAAAACCCTAACCCTTACAAGAAGCTAAATTTGACATTGGGGTTAAACCCACTTTACAAATCCGAATTCTAAGTGAAAAGGAGAAGAAATTATACATTTAACCACTTAATTTCTTCACAACTTGTACCAAATGAACTAAGAAGTATTGAGATCGGCCCCTAGGATTTCTATTGAGCTTGAATCGCCAACCAAACTCCTCTCTTCTCCTCCCATCGTTCTTTTTTTGGCTGAAATAAAGAGGAAGCATTCTTATTTTCAGATTTGTCATATTTGGTCCTTCTAGTTTACATCTTTTGCCAAATTTACTATTTTACAAGGTAGACATAATGAGTCCTTGACCATCCCAATCTTAAAATTCCACATACATTTAACCTAGGTGAGTTAACCCTTGGTCAAACATACTTTTCTCAAATTGACACTTTGGGTCCCTTAACTTTGAAATGTTATCATCTCAACCTTTAACTTTGCAATCTTCATATAGACTAATGATACAATTATCATTTAAATGATTTAATCATGTAAATCCTCCTTTATTTAAATATCTTAATTAATTTAAGACACTTATCTTAAATTTTAGGATATTACATTAGGATCCATCACACCTACGACACGTTCTATATGAGCTACGTTTATTCTAAAAGCTTTATGAGTTAGGATCATTTCCCAAGCTGCATGGGTTACGTTTGTCACAATTCTAAGACCGTACATCTTAGTGGAAATCCCTTTGTATCTTAACCGTTAATTCGTATTGGAATGAGGAACACTAAGTATAAGTTCATGACCGCATACTTATATGGGTTGACATCCTGCCACCGGTTGCTAGCTACAACCATCGGTTGACGAGTCAATATTGGGCGTTGGCGTTTCGTATACGATAAATTCCTCGAGGATGAGCAAACTTGGGTGTGGACTTTCAGCACTAAAACTTGTATGTGCTGATGCAGAGGTGTTCGTCATAATTTGGTTATGACATCATCATAGATCCGGGTTTGCCTTCTTACCGTATAGATTCGATATTGGGTTTATACGGGGTTTTCGTTCAATGATCCTAGTTGAAAGAGACTATAGGTAGTGGGATAGCTTGTGACTCAAAACGATAAGAGTTAATACCGGAAATTAAGTAATATAATACATAATTAATATTATGACACGGCTGAACAAGGTTTATTAACTTACAATGATTAAGTTATTTATATAAACCCTTTGTTGTTACACGAAAACATAATATTTATGTGGGAAGAGTTTGTCCCACTGGTTAAGTGTCGGTTTCTAAATCAAGTAAGATAGTATTTAAATAATATCACGAAACGAATTTTACAATGTTTACAAATTGGAACATATATAT